TTTTTTTTTTTTTTTTTTTTTGTATTTTTATTGTTAACGAGGGTAATGTTCACTTCATTGTGAGAGAGGTGTAGTGAGAGAAAGTGAAGAAAAAATAGAACAAGAGCATATGTGGGTTTTTGTTCATTTACCTTCTTTGTTTTCCTGGTGGTTTGTGAAGACGATTGTGTTTTAGTTTTTTTTTTTTTTTTTTTGGGGGAGGAGGGGGGAGGGGGGGATCAGGAAAATAGATTTGGGGAAAGAGGAACTCGGGCAACTGAATTGGGGATTCGTGTTTCTTCATGTTTTCTTGGTACTACTTTCTTGTGAAAGGGCTTGATTTGATTTGTATTTGGCTTGTGCTTTTAAGAAACGAGATTTTAGGGTTTAAAGAAACAGGGGATTAGGGGAGTAAGGCTAATTTGGTCTTTTAACCATCTGATTAACTTAATCATAATCAGGAGTCCTGACTCTACTGCTTTTCAATTATGAGTCAGAAACACATTGATTGATTCTTTCCATGCTTCCATGATTCTGCAACAGTGAAGAAGGTTGCTGAAATCAATAATGCAATTTCTTCTCACTTACTGAAATGAATAATGTAAATTTTAATTTTGGGAAGGACTATTGTGAACGGTACCATAACAAAATTTATAATTTTTAGATGTAAAGTTATATTTTTTTGGGCGTTAAGTTATAATTGTAAAATATATTATTGATCCTAAAATGTTATGATCGATGATGAAAGTTATAATCTTTAAAAGTCAAGTTACAATTTGTAAAATAAAAGTTGCGGTTCATTTAGGTAATTCATGATATGGTGTTGAAATATTTTTTTTTAGTACTGTAAAATTACCCTTTAATTTTTATATGTGGTTTCAACTTTCTATTGTACTTCTCTGTTTAAGAAGGGAGGGTTACTGATTGTAAAGCCATTAAGCTATCAAACCACATGCCTTTTATTTAGTTCTTGAAAGATTCTGTCTATATCTTTTGATTATTTATCTATTTATTTATGGTTGATGGACAGGTTTAGAGATTTTTCTTTCTGTGATGTCTGCTGCTTTATCTTTCGGTGAGTATTGAAGGATATACTGTGGAAACAGGTGTGAAGTGAAGTACCTCAAATTGCTATATATTAATGCTTGTGAATTATGAGAAAGCTTTTTCAACTTTTTTTCACTTCATCATTGATGAAAATTTTAATAAGACATTTCCTTTCATGAATGGATACATAGGGAGTCCACAATCCACATATGTGGTGCTTTGCAATGTCCTGCTATCTATCTATTTTCAGGTTGTTGTAATTATTTCCTCCCTTTCCCACAGATCCAAAAAAAGAAATTGTTTTTTTTTTGTTATTAGATGAAAATCTTCTTTTATACTGTCTTTTTTAATGTCCATATCATGGTATGTATCTGTTATGCTTGCCCATTAATTTACTTATTATTTTGATAGTCAATTTGCCCTGTTTAGTAACATATGATGATTTCAATTGTTTTGTTTTGTTTCCCCTTTCAATTGGTTATGTTTCTATTTTCTTCTATTACGGGCCTTATGGCTTCAATAGTCATAATTCCTCTTTGTATTTTATGTGAAGGTTATGGAATAATTAATTCTATTTTTTGTTCTTCATATCATCATATGAAACAGTTTCGTTATTGGTATTGCGATTACATTTTACAGAAGGGTTGTGCAACTTTCGTGGACGGAGAATTTTTGTTAATTTCTTGTTTTTGCATCCCCATGCTTTTGTGTTTATTATTCATTTAGTTGTCAGGTTCTCCCCCCCCCCAAAAAAAAAAAAAGTAAATTAGATTCCCTTCTTTTTTTTTTTTGAGATTCTGCATGCATGTATACATAGAAATCTATACAGGCTGAAACTATGTATACAATGCATGCTATAGTGTTTGAAACATGATTCATTTGCTTATGCATTTCATCTTCTTTTCTCCTGGTCTTGGCACCCTAATAAAGGTTTGTGATCTTCTTTTCCACAGTGCTCTGAGCTTAGACATAAGAGGTTGGAGTTAAGACACAGAGATGAAGAAGTTCTTCTTTTTCAGATCATCAGCACACAGCAATGGGAACACCAGTCAGGCTCAACCACCATCAAGGGATAAGCAAGTATCTGAAAACCAGACATTTGGTACCAGCCCATATCTTAGAAGGAGCCTTTCCTACTCATCAGGAAACCCTTATAATGGTGGGTTAGGATACAGGAATTTGAACAGTCAAAGTGGGTCTCCTTGTAGTAGTAGTAGTAATATTCCACTCAAGCAATCGGGTCGCCATTCATCTCGGTAGGCATTTGATTCACTTGTTTCGTGACTATGAAATTGCACGCGTTCATGTTTTAACCATTTATGCAACTAATGATATAGGGTACATAGATATATATTCATTTTTATTGTGTTGTGTATGTTTGTGTTCTGACAAGTGTAAACATGTACACACTTATTGGTTCTTGGATCTAATTTTGGTGGTCTTGTGGTTTGTGTCAGTGGCCGTGACTTTACTCCCGAGAGGCGACCCAAAGCAAAATGCTTTGAAGCGGCTGCTGCTCAAAATGCAAGGAGAGTAGAGAAACCAAGTTGTGTTACTTCTTCAACAGCTCACTGTGATTTATCAGAAAACTCTTCATATAGCTCCAGCAATGTCTCAACTAAAGTTTTGGATCGTTATATTGATGGGGAACAAAAGCAGGAAAATAGCTCATTAAAGATCAATCCTTTAATGAGAGATCAAATGGGAAATGGAAATGACAGTGGAAAGCATGCCCCACGAGTTCAGTATGAGCAACCTGCTTCACCAACAGATAATAGGAAACAAAAACCAAGGTCTCATTCTTTCCGAGAAGCTAAAGGATCTAATGTATATTTTCCATCAAGAGAGTGGGTGGATAACGGATTTGGGCATGAATCTCCTCGGAAACTTGCAAAGCATGTGATTGAGAGACTCTCTCAGACTCGGGGTTTGCCGAAAACTAGTTCAGAAGAATTTGATTCTGATGTTCCAATCACAGTTGAAGATATCTATGGGAGATCCTTAAATAATGACCCTAGTTTATGTTCTGATGGAGTTTCTCTTAAAGATTTTACCCTGGACGGGCCAGATAAAACCAGTAATGGATATCAACATGAAGATTTCTCAGGCTTCCTGGAAAGAATTTGTTCCTCTGCAGATAACTGTGGCATCATAAACCCTGTTGAGGCTGAAGAGGATATGGATGCCTTGTTACATTTGAAATCCAAGAATGCTGAGGAGCGGGCCATGTTTCTTTCTGAAGAGCTTGAGCACCAAAACTTTCTTCAAGATATTGGGCACAGTGGACCAGCATTGATTCATGCAATTAAAAACTTAGCAGAGCAGAGAGTAAACATGGCATTTGAGGTTTCAGCCACACTACGGGATCGAATTGCTGAGAGGACTACAGCCAAGGACGAACTCAGACTAGCAAGGGTGGAACTGGACTCCCGTACTCAGAGATTGGAGAAGGAGAAGAATGAGTTACAGGTGGCACTGGAGAAGGAGTTGGACAGAAGATCATGCGAGTGGTCGATGAAGCTTGAGAAATACCAGGCTGAGGAGCATAGGCTGCGTGAGAGGGTTAGGGAGCTCGCAGAGCAGAATGTTTCCCTCCAAAGGGAAGTCTCTTGCCTTACTGAGAGGGGTATGGAGAGTAAGAGCAGGATTACATATTCAGAGCAGCAACTCAAGGACTTGACTACAAAAGTGGAGGAAGCAAGAGAGGAGAATCAAATCCTTCAACGGAATCATTCTGATTTACAAGAAAGGTGGAGAGCAGCAGAAGAAGATCAAGATTGCTTCCAAAGAACCTATGAGGAGAAAGAGAAAGAGTTTAAAGAATTGCACAAATCTATTAGTAGATTACTAAGAACTTGCAGCGAACAAGAGAAGACAATTGATGGACTGCGAGAAGTGCTTGGTGAGGAAGTTAGGAAGAAGACATCTCTGGAGAACTTCGATGACCAGTTTGGGAAGTTGCAAATGGAGCAAACGAGGTTGACAGGAGTGGAACAAGCTTTGAGAAAGGAGGTGGAATCCTGTAGGCTTGAAGTTGATTGTCTCAGGCATGAGAATGTGAACCTATTACACCGCCTAAAAGGCAGTGAGAAGGCGGGTGGCTTTTCAACTTTCAAGCTAGATCAGGAACTGTGGAACCGTGTTCACTGCTTGCAACATCAAGGGCTATCAGTACTTACAGAGAGCATCCAGCTTTGTACAAAGTTACTAGAGCACATCAAAGTAAATACAGGCCGCAATTCAGAAAGTAGGCAGGGCATTGAAGTCTGTAAGAATGGCTTAAATGGACACTTTGTGGTTGAGTCGGATGTGAAACTCCAGGGTTTCAAGCGGGCTACAGAAAATCTAAAAAGGAGTTTACAGACAATGTCTGCTGTGTTGCACGAGAAGTCTTCTTGCTACTTGGGGGAATCTGAGTCTCATAAGTTGGGGGATGAGTCAGGCCAGAGATCGGAGGTATAATGATGCTGATATTTTTCTTACTTATTTTTTATGTTCTTCAATGCTGTAATTTCTATGCATTTTGATTCTAATGTTTTTTTGACACTCTCTTTGACTTAAATAGGACAAAATACGATCAGAGCTTAAAGCTGAAACTTTACTAACGAGTTTATTGCGAGAGAAACTGTACTCCAAAGAACTAGACATGGAACAACTTCAAGCTGAACTGGCAACAGCTGTTAGAGGCAATGACACTCTCAGATGTGAAGTGCAAAATGCCATGGATACATGCTCTTGTGTAACCCACAAGATGAAAGATCTCGAACTTCAGGCAAGCCTTTGATGTCGTTATTTCCTCTGCTATGCTAATATGGTGTTCAACCTTACGTGTTTTGCATGAACTTTTGTGTATGTGAGTGCGAATTTGGTTTAAGTATGAGCGGCCATTCTATCCTTGCATGTTCTTACTTGTAATATAAGTATAGTTGGCATGCTAAGGAAGACATTTATTTGCTATTGTTGGGGTTCTTTTTTTTTAAGTGGCAGTTCAACCATCATCTTTTACTTCTTGTTGAGTTTTTCTAACAGAAAGGAATTTAAGATAAATTATAATTTATAATGAGGAAGGATGTCCTGGTCGCCAATCTGTATAGGACAAGTGGTTGCTGTTCAGCATTAAGAAGTTTCATTCTCTTTTATGGATATACTATTTTGGTTTTTTTTTTTTTTT